ATTTTAAACTCGTTCGAGGACGAATGTTTGTTTAAGAGGTGAAGAATGTAATGACCCAACCAGTCATTTTGACTTTTAGAACCCCATTCCCCTAAATAAAACTCCCAGTATGTGCTTTTATTAATTTATGACTTGCGGGGATGGTTGGTTCGAGATTTGGAAGTGTTCGGGTTGAAATCAGAATACTTGGTTTATTAGTTTGGCTTTAAAGGCCCAAGTTTGACTTTGATCAACATTTTAAGAAAATGACTCCGGAATCGAGATTTGACAGTTCCAATAGGTTTGTATGATGATTTTGGACTTGGGCATATGTTCGAATCGGGTTTTGGACAACCCGGGAGCATTTTGGCGCTTAATAGTGAAAATTAACTATTTGAAGGTTTAATGCTCTTTAAATTTGGTTTGGAGTAGGATTTGGAGTAATTGAGGTCCGTTTGGAATTTCGAGCCTGAGAATAGCTCCGTATGGTGATTTAAGACTTGCACGCAAAATTTGGTGTCATTTCGGGGTAGTACAAGTATGATTCGGCGCGTTCGGAGGAAGTTAAAAACTTGAAGTTCATATTTTGATCTAATTCGATTTTGGGGTGCGATTCTTAGTTTCGTTATTGATTTGCGTGTTTCGAGAGTTCAAGCAAGTCCGTGTTATATTTTCAGACTTGTTGGTACATTTGGACGGGGTCCCCGGGGGCTCGGGTGAGTTTTGAACCACCCGGAGCTAAGTTGGAAAAACTAGAAATTACAGTTCTGGTTTCCTTCTTCGCGAACGCGGAAGGACCCTCGCGTTCGCGAAGAAGGAAAATGGGAGCTGGGATATTGCCCTTCGCGTTCGCGTGGAGGGTGATGCGTTTGCGAAGCCCGAGAGTTTTGGCCTACGCGTTCACGAGGGAGATCACGCGTTCGCAAATGGCAGGCCAGTAAGACTTCGCGTTCGCGAGACCCCTATCGCGTTCGCGAAAGGGTAATTTTAAGGCTGTGAAATTTTGCCTTCGCGAACGCGAGGAACTGACCGCGTTCGCGAAGAAGGGGTTCACTGTACCGGACAGAATGTCTTAAAAACGGGATTTCACCATTTTTAACCCCATTTCTTTCATTCTTGGGCGATTTTGGAGCTTTTTGAGAGGGGATTTCAACTAGCAACTTGAAGGTAAGTTAATTCTACACATTTTGAGTTAAATACATAGATTATGGGTAGATTATAACCTGTAAATTATAGAAATCAAGGGTTAGAGGAAAAATCTAGATTTGTGTAAAAATGAGATTTTAACCACGAAAATGGTTATGGAATTTGATGAAAATTGTATATTTGAGTTCTTGAGGTTATGGGTAATGATTTTCTCCGAAATTTTTTGGAATCCGGGCACGTGGGCCCGGGGTAAATTTTAGGAATTTATCATTTTTGGATAGGGTAATTTATTTAATAGTCTAATTTTGAATTTTTGAGCATGTATTAATTATTTTATATAACTTTTGGATAATTTCGGATTTTTCGGCACCGAGTTGAGATTTTTCGCGATATTGTAATCGGGAAGTGGGCTTTGAGACAAGGTAAGTCTTTTGCCTAACCTTGTAAGAGGGAATTTACCCCATATGTGATTCATATTAATAATTGTTGCTAATTGTGGGGGCTACGCACGCACGAGGTGACGAAAGTCCGTGCGTAGCTACTAATTATGTTAATGTCCGGGTAGTTTAGAACTCAAATCATGAATTACTTGTGATAACTACTCCTTTTATTTAATTAAATTACTGAAATTATATTGTAAATTGTTTAAGGAAATAGTAAAAGATCGAAACTTAATATACTCGAATTTTGTGTAAATTATTAAATTGTTAATAGAGATTGAACATCCTACGTGTTAATATTATAATAACTTCTCATTACGGAGGTTCATAAGAAAATGTCCTCCTTTCTTCTGGAGCGGGCCGAACACCGGCAGTATAGATGCATCTATGGATCGCGCCGCACGTCCCTCGGCAGTGTACACGACACTCTGGATCGGGCCGTATGACCTCGGCAGAAATCGTGCCTAATAATAATAATTACATAATACCTTGATATTTTAATTGCAGCTTGTGAAGCTAATTTGATAAATTGGAAATTATTAAAATTTAAGGAATTTATTTATTTCTACTCGACTAGAAAATTATTGTTGTTCACCTAAAAATCATGTTTAATTAAATAATTCTATTGTAATATTATTGACCCATAGTGAGTGTCAAAGTCGACATCTCGTCACTACTTCTTCGAGATTAGGCTTGATACTTACTGGGTACACATTGTTTACGTACTCATACTACGCTTGCTGCACTTTTTGTGCAGGACCCGAGACAGGTACTATCGGAGGACCTATCAGAGTGCATCCACGTTATCCAGATGCTTAGTGGTGAGCTGGCTTTCTGAGCCATTCTGCAACAACCAGTGCCTCTTCTTGTATTTGTATTCTGTGTATTTAATTTCAGACATTATTTAAAATTTTGTATAATCTACTAGATACTCATATACTCGTGACATTAGGTCTTGGCACACACTAGAAAAATTTTTGGATTTAATTATTTTACTTGGGTTTTAATTTATCTTATTTCTCACATTGTCTTAATTTTTGCAAGTACTCCAAGTTTTATTACTCGGATAATTTTTAAAGAAATGAATATATGTTTAAATCATTAGTTGGCTTGCCTAGCTGGGATGTTGGGTGCCATCACGGCCTATAAGTAAATTTGGGTCGTGACACATGCGTCATAACGAGGCATGACGTCATGACGTCATCCTAACTCATGGACAACATAATTCCAGCAAATCGCCCGAAAAAATCGAAGCGCTTGAAATGTGCGGCCCACGTAGGGCCGACCACACTGCCAGTTCGCCGCAACCACCACGACCTGCATAGCTCGCTCGATTGTTTCGACCAACAAAGAACAAGATCCGCTTATCGAATCCGCCCGAAGTCGGCCTCAATAAGCGGAGGGACTAACTGTATGGGTCAAAATCTATCTTTAGAATATTTAAGCCAAGATAGTACTAGGGGAAGAGTTCCCAAATCGTCGTTTGTCGAAATGGCCCAAGAAGCGACGAAGTCTGTGATCGAAAAGTCAACAAGGGCCGAAGTCGAGGGTTCAACAAGGGTCGAGTACTTTTGACAGAGTTATAACGGCTAGTTTCAAGATACGATATTTAAGAAAATATTCTAGTGAATATTCTTTGCACTTGTACTATTAGAGTTTCTTAGGAGCATATTCCCTATAAATAAAAAAAGACACAATGATAGGGGATATGTGATATTTATTTGTAAAAATATACTTTGACTTGAGAAAGAGGATCCGATCTCATTGCTAAGATACAAACAACATCATTTTACTAAGATTCTTGTCAATATTTTTTTACTAGATCCGAGAATAACTCAAATATTCAAGGGGTTGTCCGTCATTCATCATTGTGAGAAAGAACATTCACTTATTCTATCCTTTCTTGGGTGACTCATTCATTCTGTTTACTTAAATGTCATTTATTGTTATTTGTTGATATTGAATGCTACACTATTGCCTTTGATTTCTTGGGATGTTTATTGCATGTTACCGCTACTATCCGACTATATCTACATAGTGTTAGTTGATTTTTCAAGAACTCCATCTTAGGGATATTATTGTTAGCAAAGATTAACCATCTTTTATATAAATTTAATAATTTGAACCAAGATCTATATTTTTGGTCAAATAAGAAACCGTAACTGAAAAGGTCCACAAGTAAATATAACTCGAACTCCAACTGTCAACACAATATGCTGAAGTTTGACTTTTAAAATTGATAATTGTTATTTATACATGATTTTGTATGTTATATTATAAGAATATTTCAGCTTTGGAAGAATATGGTAAAATTTGTGGAGTGTCTTGTGTTTAAATATATGATTTTTCGTTAGATAATTTATCAATTAACAGTTACCCCTACATGCCCACACTCGTTAAAAGTCAGGGATTTTTATACGAATAGACGGTCATATTAATTGTTTACTTTTTTTAGTCATATATAATACATAAATTATGTATATATTATACATTAACCAGCTATTTTTAATTTAAGTGATAGGGTGGACGACTATTTGAGTTAATTGACTAGGCCACCATTGGCCGTTTAGAAATTAATTTTTATTATTATATTCTATTTATTCCTCACACACATGCACCGATATCCGTTACAAACTTATTAACTTTGGTATATTTTCTTGTTCATCCCACACCTAGTTTAATTGAATGTGGATCTGGAATTTAAATTCTATAGTTTGGAATACTTTTGTAAATCCATTGGTCGTTTGAGTTACTGCATTTGAAATTAATAGTTATACGAATTTAATAGATTTCTGAACACAAATATAAAATTCAAATCAAAATTATTAAATTTGTAATTCGACAGAACCCTGTTATTATTAGTACACTAATTAATTAATTCATATTCTCACTTTGATTTGTAATTTAATGAAGATAAATTAGTATGGTTTGATTCAAATATCAAGTGTGAGTATGTTTTTACTACTTGCCATCTCTTCAACTTCATTATTATCCATCTAACTACTAATTCACCAACAATATTATCATTTTTTTAAAAATATTTTGTTCAAAAAGTATAATTCATTCTCCAACCAAATACTAGAATACATTATTTAAAAATAATTTCAGAAAATAAGTTTTTTCCTTAAAAAATATTTTGTAAAGAATATTTTTTACCAAACACATATAGTACTAGCAATTATTGACTTAAAATTCATAACCATCAAAGGAAGTGGTGCAGTGGATGCGACTGTTCTTCTCTTAACTAGATGTCTCCGGTTCGAATTTTGAGTATAGAAAAATCTGTGGTAGGAAACGCTTTTGAAAAATCGGATATAATCGCGCTTCAATGCGAGCAAGGACACGGAAACAAAAAAAAAATTGTAAAATTTAAAGATTTGCAACTTGCCCCCGTTTCAATGGAGCACTTATTGTTTTTCTTCATTTCTTTCTGTCCTTTTTCCTTTGGTCTTATTGAGTCATTTCTTTCTTCTTCACTTCCCCCTGCATAGGGCTTCGTTACCTCTTTCTCTCTCTCTCACACACGCACTCTCTCTCTCTCTCTCTAAACCCATCATCGGATCTGAGTTCCCAAAACTAACCCCACAATCTGCCCGTTTTCCCACACACTCACAAGACTCTCACATCCTCAGTTTTCACTCTCACTCATATTTATACACGCAGAGATACTTTGTACACATTACTGTGAGCTCAGTTTATAGCTGGATCTCAGTCTTGGAGTTGATTTTGAGGCATTTTCATGGGAATGCCGCCTCCAAACGTAGGAGGAGAAGAATGAGCAAAACTATTGAAGTAGAAGAATACGAAGAGAACGACTACTTTCACGACTCTCTTGATCGTTTACTCTCTTCTTCACACACTTCTTGTTCCTCCTCTTCTGAAGACGAAAACGAGGATGGATATCCTATTTCCAATTTGGGATCCCCCAATTATGCCATTTTAGACCCACATTCAGTCCCTAAATTCCCAATGGGCGTTTTAAACAACTATGATGTGTGGATCTCAGAACCTTCCTCTATTGAAGAACGCCGTTTTCGTCTTTTTCGTCAAATGGGTCTTAGCCTCAGATCGGTTTCATCACTTCATTTGAAGTGCCAGACTATTAGTAGTAGCAAATGTAGTGTTTCTGGGATCGTTCGATCAAAATTAGATGGCGATTCCAATTCCTCTAGTTTTCCTTCTTGTTCTTCAGTTCATAAAAGTAGTGAAATTCTTTGTGTTAATGCCGATGATAGTATAGTTGTACATAATAATGGAAATGTGGATCAATTACATAATGGCGATGGATCTGCAGCGGTGGCGATTAGAGCTGATTCGAGGGACAATGAAAGCTGTAATTTGTTGGAAAATGGTGAGGTAGAGGAGGAGAATGATTTGGAATCGAATGGAGACGTTGAAATTGAGGAGACGGCGTGTACTATAAAGGATCTGGATAATGGGAAGAAGTTTGTGGTCAATGAAGTGAGAGAGGACGGGATGTGGAACAAACTTAAGGAAGTCAGTACCGGTAAGCAATTGACTATGGAAGAATTTGATATGTGTGTTGGAACTTCACCAATTGTTCAGGAATTAATGAGACGACAAAATGTGGAAGACGGTAATAATAATAATAATAATAATAATAATAATAATAATTTGGATATTGTGAATGGGATTGCTGGAGCTGGGCTTAAAACTAAGAAAAGGGGAAGCTGGCTAAAGAGCATTAGAAATGTGGCTAGCTCGGTAACAGGTCATAAGGAGCGACGAAGTAGTGATGAGAGGGACACGTCTTCTGAGAAAGGTGGCCAAAGGTCAAGCTCTGCGACGGATGATAGTCAGGATGGTTCGCTTAATGGACCTGAAAGAGTTAGGGTTCGACAATATGGGAAATCCAGCAAAGAACTTACTGCTCTTTATAAGAGCCAAGAGATACAAGCACACAATGGTTCTATTTGGACTATTCAATTTAGTTTGGATGGAAAATATCTTGCTAGTGCTGGTGAGGACCGCGTCATACAAGTTAGGAAGGTTACATCATCAGAGAGGAAAGGTGATCTATTGTTGGATAAACGAGAAGATGGGAATTTGAATCTATTGTTTTTGGCTACTGGATCTCCAGAGCCAGCTACTATGTCGCCAAATTTTGATGGTAATTTTGAGAAGAAAAGAAGAGGAAGGTCATCTATAAGTCGAAAATCAATAGGCTTTGACCATGTTTTGGTGCCAGAGACTGTTTTTGCGCTTTCAGAAAAGCCTATCTGTTCATTTGAGGGCCATTTGGATGATGTGCTTGATCTCTCGTGGTCCAAGTCGGAGGTTAGCTGGCATTCTTATTTTTATCTTAGTATCTAATTGCTTGAACTGGTATTCTAATTTTTATCCTACTTAATTTAGTATGGATTAATAATTATGACCTGAATATAACATAATGGATACAGAAGATTTGTGAAGTTGATGCCAACTTATTTCACATTAAGGTGTTAGGATTAGTTGATTGATTTATTGATATATGTGCTCTTTTTTCATAGAGTTTCATCTAACAAAAGAATCATTTTTAGTTGAATTGTTCGAAATAATCTGGCAGTTTTTTATTTTATTTTATAGCAAATCACCAGCTTCTATGCCATTCGGTTTCTAGAATATTTTCAGGATGCAGTTTTATGGTCCTAAAGGTTGCACCTATTACAGGTGGCCTTTTTTTTTTTTTTTTTTTTTTTTGCTTTTTGAAGCTTCTATGCTTCTGCTTCTTGTAATATTTTGCATCTTCTTGATGACATCAATGAAGCCAATTATTTCATCAAAAAGGTTGCACCTATTACAGGTGGCCTTTTTTTTTTTTTTTGCTTTTTGAAGCTTCTATGCTTCTGCTTCTTGTAATATTTTGCATCTTCTTGATGACATCAATGAAGCCAATTATTTCATCAAAAAGGTTGCACCTATTACATCATATAATGATTTTATACGAAATTCCTCTGGTGATTATAGATAAGTACAATATGAAAAAAAAAAATCTTGGATCACAGTAATGCCAAGGCATTCGTATGGAGTTGGGAATTGGAAATACATCAGAAACTTATGGAATATGTTCTCAGAACACATTTACATAAAAGTAGGCGATGGTAGAAAAACTATATTTTGGAAATAAAGATGGTTAGGATATATAACCCTCAAAAGTTCAGCTCCTTGACATTTTCAGCATAGTAAATAATCACGCAGAAAATTACTTGTCCACTCAAGGACGGAACATTCGCCTTAGAAGGTGCAGTGATTGGGAAATGGAGATTATGAGCAGCTTCATGCAGATAATGATAGATAGCTTCCAGAGGCAGCAATCAATACCAGATAGGATAGTATGTAAGGAACGTAAGGATGGTCTTTTCTCAGTAAAGCCTGGCAAAAGTATTATTCTTAAAAAAGTATTGTCTCAAAGTAGAAAACAAGAACAAATATGGCCATGAAAATTGATATGGAGAAACAAAGCACCTTACAAGGTATAGTCGTTTTCATGGGTAGTGGGCCAGAGAGGCTTGCTTGACCCAGCAGTCTTCAAATAAGAGGTATGATCATTTGCACCTGACGTGTAATATGTGAAGAAGATTATGAAGATGCAAAATACTTATACATCCGCTGCAGAATCACAATCCAGATGTGGTACATGTTTTTGATTTTGCTTGAAGTCAAAATCTCAATACGTACTACATTGTTGGAATAGAAGAGGACTACAAAAAGGCAACAAAAAATTGTGGAGCACTATACCAGCGGCTGTATGGTTGACTGTTTGGAAGGAAAGAAATTAGAGATATTTGGAAGGCAAAAGGGAAAATATTTGTACCTTAAAGCATCCTTATATGTTTAGCTCTCTTAGCCTTTCTCGTATACAAATGAAAGTGTACAAGACGTAAATGGTTAATTTCCTTAGTTCTTTCACTTGTAGCTGGTGTACTAAGAAACATATTGTTGGGATTGTACTACTCGTCCATTGCAATCGCTGTTTAATTAACATTTTCAGTACATTTGAAAAAATATTGATGAGCGGTAAGTGGTAACCCCTAAGAATATAGCTCTTCAAAAATTTGTGTCCAGATGCCCAATAAGTTCCCGTATTGAATAAGTGAGCTCTATTTCATGGTAATTTTCCTGGATACATCTCGTTAACGTTTGTCTTCCTCCCACTTTCCTTTACCAGCAATTGCTCTCATCATCAATGGACAAAACAGTGCGGCTTTGGGAACTTTCTAGCAAATCTTGTTTGAAGATCTTCTCACACAGTGACTATGGTATATGTACCTGAACTCTTATCTTTTCACTACTCTACTCCCCAGGCCAGTTTTAGAGTTCCATGTTTCAGTCGTAAGATTCTGTAGACAGGAAGAGTGTTTTAGTGTATGGCCTAGAAATTAGTAGTATGTTAATAGATGAATTGGAACTTTTTCACAAATATGCTGATTGCAATGTTTTCTTTTCCTTGCCTTGATTCAGTAACCTGCATCCAGTTTAACCCTGTTGATGATAGATACTTCATCAGTGGGTCCCTAGATTCTAAGGTTCGTATATGGAGCATTCCAGAGCGGCAAGTTGTTGATTGGAACGATCTGCATGAGATGGTCACTGCTGCTTGCTATACACCAGATGGTCAGGTGAGAGTCTGCTAAATCCTATTAAAAGGCGAAAACCAAATGTCCTGGATTTGCATATTTTACAGTTTAAGTTTCTAATGCGTTTTTGTAACTTTTTTCAAGGGGGCATTTGTTGGGTCGTACAAGGGGAGCTGTCATTTGTACAACACATCAGGTTTGACTTACTGTTCCTTTGCTGTCCCCTCTTTATTCCCATCTTCTTCTGTAGAGGGAAGTTATGTACTCCACATGTTGATACTTTATGCTTCTCTGCTTTCAGATAATAAATTGCAGCAAAAAGCTAAAATCATTCTGCAGAATAAGAAGAAAAAGGCTCACCAAAGGAAAATTACTGGTTTCCAGGTACAGTAATTTTAATTGATTGCTGATGCTGGAGTTTATCTTTACAAGTTCATCTACGTACTTTTCTTGTATTAACAAGATACTTTGCATATGCTATGTCTGTGCATATCCTTATCTAACTTTTAATTGTTTACTGTTGTTTTATATTCTAAAAGTTCAAGTAAATAATTTATCAAGGTTCTTTCGAATAAAAGAACAAAAATATCAAATAATGATATGTTACCTTTTCAAAAAGAGTTAAATAATGGGTAAACAAATAGGAAGTAGTGTTGTAGATTAGGAGCTAAATTCGCTTCCAAGAGACAAGGGGAAGGCAGACGGCAAATATTAATCCTTCATTGCTAAAAGATGCACGCCCTCTATTTTGCTATTTAACAAGTAATCTGATTGTACTTGGCACAATTATTTGTAAAGTTGAAGCCTATATGGAATTTAAACAGAATCTGGTTAATGTATTTGGGATAAAATTAAACTTTGAAAGAATTTGAACTTTTCTCAAGTATAGAAGTGAGTCTCACATACAGATTACATACTAAAATATTGAAAAGTGTAGGAAAAAGTTTTCCTTTTAGGAAAGTGAATGCAATTTTTAGGACAATCTAAAAAAGGAAGTATGGCAAAATTTGTGATGGATGAAGCAGTTCAAGTAGTCTGTTTAAATTGGTTAGCAACTGATATTTTTTCATGAACAGTTTGTGCCAGGAAGTACAACCCAAGTGCTTATAACATCTGCAGACTCAAGAATCCGTGTTGTTGATGGTTCTGATCTTGTTCACAAGTTCAAAGGTACATTAACTGATATATTACCTTATGAAGCTTGTGGGTTGCATTGATATTGCTATGTTAGAATTGATTAAAGTTTCAACTTCGGTTGACTTGACCACTAGTCCATGTTGCACAGACTCTTCAAAATCCTTGCCGCAGCCATGTCAACACGACATGGGTGTGGGATCCACTCCGGATTTGGTCAACTTACCTTGGGTGCTTTGACTATATCTATGACCGAGAAGTGTAGATTGATGGGTATTTGGTTTGATTTTGTGGGTTTACGTCATATATATATATATATATATATATATATATATATATATNATTAGTTGTTTATACTGTGTGAGTTGATCTTTTTTGAGGAGTCTGAACCTTTTGCTATTTCTCCTTTCTTTGTGCTGCTAAACAATCTTTTCCACTGCTTGAACTTTTAGCTATTTAGGAATTGTGTATGCATGTTTTTCTATTATGCACAATTTTCATTTTTAGTTTCTTGTACTCTTCCTCGTCATCGAGTTAGCACGAACTATGACAGGTTTTCGTAATACTAGTAGGCATATCTCAGCCTCTATGACCGCCGATGCTAGATATGTGGTCTGTGCCAGTGAGGATTCACATGTCTATATCTGGAAACATGAAGGCGATTCTCGACCAAGCAGGAATAAAGGTGTTACTATTACACAGTTTTATGAGCATTTTCATTCTCAAGATGTTTCAGTGGCCATTCCTTGGCCTGGCATGTCCGATACATGGAGATTTCAAACTACATCTTCGGGGGAACAAAGTGATCATGTTGGTATCGACGAGGTGTCCACTGCTAACCATCCACCTTCACCTGTTGAAGAGAATGGCAACGAGTGCTCGCCGTTGACTTCTGGCTGTAGTAACAGCCCTCTTCATGGAACCATATCTAGTGCCACGAACAACTACTTTATTGATAGAATCTCAGCAACATGGCCGGAGGAAAAACTTCTTCTAGCTACTAAATATCGTAGTAGTCCTCGAGCCAGTACAGATTCTAGTATTGATTTTTCCAGTGGTTTAAATCAAACAAAGTCTTGCTGGGGTTTGGTGATTGTAACTGCAAGCCACCGAGGGGAGATCAGGATTTTCCAAAATTTTGGCTTACCAATCCGGTTTTAGAGACAAAATGCAAGTCTTCGCGATGATTGGAATAATACATGACCCATGCACAAAGCAAGAACGTCTCGGGTTTGTTGGTCGAGATGCCACAATACACAGCTACAGCCAAATTGTCGAAATTTGTACAGATATTGGTGAGATATGTAATATAAGCAATTTTTCTTTTTTTTTTTGTATCAAAGACTCAGATAAGGACCCTGCCTGACTAGGCACTGTGAAGGGGGGAAGTAGGGCAAACAGAAAGAGGAAAGATCTATCATGATCTGAGGATAGTATAATGAAAAGGAAAAAAAGAAGGTACAACTTTGTTAGAAAAATATACTACTAGTTTTTTCTGTAATCAGCAATTGTAGAGTTGAAAATCTTGTAATTTCATTGTACATTTAATTGAAACACAATTCTTTGATAATTCACTCAAGCAGGCTTTGTATGCATAAAGTCAGTGAAGCTAAGAGTGAATGAGTTCTGTTGTACTTGATGTTCATCTATGAGTAGATGTAGAAATGTATTTGTAAGAGTTTCTTCAACATTGACATCCTCCCCTCTTGTCCATTCCCGACTTGTTTGAGACTGAAACATAGTTATTGTCATTGTAGTAAAAATCAGTATAAAAATTTGAGTGAGATTTTGTAGAAGCACTAGATAATTAGTTTGTGAGGTGTGATAGTTGCTAGCTTTTGAAGCATGTATTCAAGAAAGTTAAGATGATTTTTAGCCGCCACTACAGCTACTATGCATCAATCCCAAATAAGTTCAAGTTGCTTCGTTTAAGATTTGTCTCAGTTTAATGTTATATGCTAAATAGTTTTATTTTAATTTTATTTTCTAAAATCTAATTTGTTCAGCTGTGACAATGCTAATTTTCAAAAGCAAGAAAAAACACCAATGTACTTCTCATAATTAAGTTACAGCCAAACTTTTTTTCTGCCCAATACCCATAATGAGGCCCTTACTAATTTCAGTTCGCGCCGTGTAGGGCCAATTAAGGGGGAAGCGCTCCCGATCAAAATTTTTCCCTTCTTAAAACTTGAACCTGATACTTCTGATTATAATTTTAGGTTTTTATATTTTGAAACAATCTATTGAAGTAAGATTTTCTTCCAGAAAAACCTTTCTAAATTCAAAACAAAAGAAAAGCAGAGTGTTTTAATTTTTAAGAAGCATTTTTGGAACATTCCTAAAAATATTATCCCAATTGCATGGAGAGTTTAGCTGTCTTGTGTCTTCGGATTTTCCAGGCTGAAACCCATACCTATGGAAGTAGATTGCTTTGGGCAGAGAGCCAAAATAAAATATCCTTTTTCTTGTATCTATCCAATGAGAAAAAAGTTCCAAAAATATCAGAGAAAATCTAAACCTTGAATTCTGATTGGTGGCTACAAATTGATGGGGCAGATACTTCCATAAAAAACTATCTTATCCAACCCCTACTTTCATATCCAAAATGACATTATTATTTTGTCTCAAATCACTGTTACAGCCATCATTTCCACTGTATATATATAAGTGACCAAACCATTGCAATATCAGTAGTTCAAGCACTCTTATTTTAATATCTTTAGCTGACTTTAGACCAACCCTTTTTCTTTTCTTGAACATTTTCATGGCTCTTCATGCTGCTGCTCTTGTTCCTTCTACTTTCTCCATTTCCAAAGAGGTAGTATTTTCCTTCCCATTTCGTCAAGAAAATCTGTTGTTCGGATTTTTCAAAAATGTTGCCGCGTCGGATCCTCCAAAACTAGTGTATATTTGGAGGATCTGACACTGTGCGACAACATTTTTGAAGAGTCCGAGTAACGTAATACTTTGATCAGCTTGTATTTTAGTCTGCAATTGGAATCTGAAGCTACATTACTGATTCTTTCTTTTATCAATTTGTAATCTTGCAGGGGAAAGCTAGTGCAAACTTGAAGAATTCTAGTCTCTTTGGAGTTTCTCTCTCTGACTACACTAAATCTGATTTTGGCTCCTCTTCATTCAAAGTCAAGGTACCAAATGCAGCACATTGATACTCTCTAGCTCAATTTCATTCTAATTTCTATGTGATGATATGTAATAGACATGGATTTTATGATGTTAATTTGACACATATTACAATAGCGGTGGTGGAACAAGGTATTAAAGTAGTGATTGAAAAGTTAGTTTGACTGAGCAAACATCACAATAATTGCGAAATATGAGCAAAAAGGGCAGCCTAGTGCACAAGGCATCTTGGGTTAACGCAAGGTCCAGGGAAGTGACGCACCCTAAAGGGTGTGATGTAGACAGCCTATGGTTGCTTCCACGGCTCGAACCTTTGACCTATAGGTCACATGGAGACATCTTTATAGTTGCTCCAACGCTCCCCTTCTAATGGCTAAATACGAGCAACTTAATGAATTTGGACAATTTTTGAAAGCTGTATAGAAGTAGAATTGTCAAATATTTTACCCCAGGGCTTAGCTCTAGTGGTAAGAGCGCAGTGCGTAATGTGGTTTGAATCCTGCTGCATTCAGAATCCTACTATATAAATAGAAAATGGTAGAAGGGTGGACCCATTATCCACCTAATTTTGGACCATACGCCATTGTCCCTTGGAAAATTCTCGGTTATAAAAAAGAATCAAATATTCTCTAACATCTCAAAATAGAAAAAAGTGTCATAAAGATTGGAATGAAGAGAGTATTATTATTCTATGTTAAAGTTTCATGTGAATCACTCCTAGAGTCCTTTTGTAGAAATAGCAAAAAAGTTTCAAATTTTACTGATATTTGATTTCTTACAGAGCCAAAGAAGATTGTCCAATGGAGCAGTAAGGGCAACAATGGTTGCATCTCCAGGCGTAACCACTAATTCTCCAGCAGGAAAGAAAACCTTAAGAAAAGGGTGTGCAATTGTCACTGGAGCCTCTTCAGGATTAGGCCTGGCCACAGCAAAAGCACTATCCGAGACCGGAAAATGGCATGTAATTATGGCTTGTAGGGACTTTTTAAAAGCTGAGAAAGCTGCAAAATCAGTTGGCATGCCTAAGGAGAATTACACCATCATGCATTTAGACCTCGCGTCGCTTGACAGCGTCCGCCAATTCGTCGATAACTTCCGGAGGTCTGGTCGTCCTCTTGATGTATTGGTTGCCAATGCAGCTGTGTACCAACCAACTGCTAAAGAGCCTTCATTTACAGCTGAAGGCTTTGAGATTAGTGTTGGCACTAACCACCTTGGACATTTCCTTCTTTCAAGATTGTTGCTTGATGACTTGAAGCAATCTGATTACCCTTCAAAAAGACTCATAATTGTTGGTTCAATTACAGGTAACTGAAACACTTAGCACATTGAGTATTACAATAGTTTCCCATAAGCACAATAGCGCTCTCACATATCTGCTATGCCCTTGCTTACAGAGGCGGATCCAGAATTTAAAATCTATGGTTTCAACCTTAACTTTTAGCATTGATCTCGTTGGTTTAAACCTATCATTTGCTGCAAATTTAATGAACTTTTACACAAAAACTTATATTGTGTGTAGAAAGTACTAGGTTCGGATGAACCTGGTAACGCCACTCTACATCTACCCCTGCTTGCCTATTGCCTTATCCCTTACTAAGAAACTAATCTTAATAGAAGCCCTTCTTTGTCAAAGCCACTTTCTTCCTTCTTGTTTTAGTGAAATACGCTCTCTTTTAGCTGGTTCCGCCTTATCTATTCATCTATTTTCTCAAATGGATATTAAGGGATCTCTCTTGTATATAGACTTGTTTGTACTCTTTTTCGTGGGAGACTAACTTTTCTTGACTAAAATCATATGACAGGAAACACGAATACTTTGGCTGGAAATGTACCTCCAAAGGCAAATCTTGGTGACTTGAGGGGTATGGCCGGGGGTTTAAATGGAATTAACAGTTCAGCGATGATCGATGGTGGGGAATTCGACGGTGCAAAAGCGTACAAAGACAGCAAAGTCTGTAACATGCTCACTATGCAGGAATTCCATCGTCGATACCACGAAGAAACTGGCATTACATTTGCCTCTCTTTACCCTGGCTGCATTGCAACAACAGGGCTATTCAGAGAGCACATTCCCTTGTTTAGGCTCCTTTTCCCTCCATTCCAGCAGTATATTACTAAGGGATTTGTCTCTGAGACTGAAGCTGGAAAGAGACTTGCTCAGGTAACAATAATTATTAGTACTAATAAATATAATGACAGCCAACCTTGTCAACATATAAGATGCATTTATCTAACTCTTAGTTTTGGACCTGAATAGAACAGAATGAATATAGATCATTTATATAGCTAAGCAGGGACTGAGCTACAGCCTGCTGAAGGATGATCAATTGAACACCCTTGTCGAAAAATTATTTATATCGGTCAAGTATCACTTTCACACAGGACATGACATGACATCCCAGTGCACAAGGCATCCCGCGTTCACACAGGGTTCGGGGAAGGGCCGCACCTCAAAGGGTGTGATGTAGTCAGCCTACCTTAATGCAAGCATTAGTGGTTCCTCGACTCGAACCCGTGACTTATAGGTCATATGGAGGCAAATTTACTTTTGCTCCAAGACTCCCCTTCATCAAATATCACTTTCACACATATATGTTAAATCTTGAATACCCTCAGCGAAATTGCTGATTTCGCTATTGACTAGTTTGGGATTGAGAAATAGTTGATTGACGGATGCATTTATTCTAATTCAGTTTTGGTCTTGAATAGAACGGAATTAATATAGATGACTCAAATAACCACCCTTCGCCTAAAGATTATACTGTGTATATAGGTCAAATATTACTACTTTTATACATATATATACTAACTCTTGAACGCCCTTAGAAAAATTTCAGACTTTTTTCACTGTAGATTAGGCTGACTAGCTTGAGATTGAGACGTAGTTGATTGACTGATAGCTAACTCTTGGTTTGCAAATCTTTAACATAAGCTATTCTTTTATTTATCTTATGCAGGTTGTAAGTGATCCAAGCCTGACTAAATCAGGTGTGTACTGGAGCTGGAACAAAGATTCAGCTTCTTTTGAGAACCAGTTGTCTGAAGAAGCCAGTGATGCAGAGAAAGCACGTAAAGTATGGGAAATCAGTGAGAAGCTTGTCGGTTTGGCTTAAATTTTGGGACTAACCTTAACCATTGCCAAGGCAAACAAGAAAAGAAGAGTTGATGAGTGAGAATTTGAATCGGAATTTCTAGGCTGTTGTAAAGAGAACTGTCACTTTAGTTAGGATTGAAAATAAATGTCAGTCACCTTGTTATTTTCTGATGGAAAATGTCACTAATTCATGTTGAAGTTAAGTGAAGTGATGGCTCATGAGCATTGTTAGACATCAGGAGCATGGAGTTTGCAATTCAACTTCTCTACTTAACTCTAGCAATTAAACTCGGAGGTCACGGGTTCGAGCCGTGGTAACAGTCTCTTGCAAAAATGTAGGATAAGACAGCGTACAATAAACCCTTGTGGTCTGGCCCTTCTCCGGACCCCGCGTATAGCGAAAACTTAGTGCACCGGGCTGCCCACACACTTATATTAAGCAGCAACAATGATAAAGTTGTCTCTGTATGACCTATAGGTCACGGGTTCGAGCCGTGAAATCAACCATAGATACTTGCATCATAGTAGGCTGCCTACACCACACCCTTCCCGAACAGGCGTGTGCACCGGACTACCCTTACTTATATTAAACAGCAGGACTTGAAAATGAATCAATCAACTAGGCCTCAATCCGAACTACTTGGGTTCTGCTCTATATCAATCATCCGCTTTACTTGCGGCCCTATTCATTTCAATACACCTAAGTTAAAATGCCATCTCAAGAATTATGTATTTGGTTAGTGATACTATCTTTGCATTTTCAGTGTATATAACTAAATTCATATTTAAACTGATAGTATAGTAATGAAGCAAGGAAGTGCAGTCAAGACGAATATATGATCTTCCCAAGAACAAGTTAATATAATCCACAAATTAAGCAACCTTCCAACATAAAGTCCTATTAATCCAAAATTGTTTGACTTGATTAGAAATCATAACAAAAGAAAAGCGACTATTGATTTCAAATGTACGAGATGTATCAACTTTTAAGCCCCCTAATGTGTACTATGATAGTATTATAATCCAAATAATTATATACCTTTTGTTTGGGTATTAATTATAGTAATCTCATAAATACTAACTCGTTTAATCTTGTCAAAATTTGAATGATTAGTTGAGTTAACATTCATTGAAACGTCAAATTAAGTGTAACCCAAATCAACCGGTGAAATTCAAAAATAGCCAAATTTACTAGTGGTAATTGAAAAATAGCCACAGTTTCAAAAGTAATCGAAACTTAGCCACTTTTCATTTAAAGATAAATCTGAACGAAAACACTGTTCAAAATCCGAAAAATATTCCAGCATATTATATTGGAGTTCCAGCATAATATACTGAAAGTTAATACACATGTGCTCCAATCTCCAGTATATTATACTGGAACTTTCCGTGTTGAAACAAAATAGTGGCTATTTTTCAATGACTTTGCAAATGCTGGCTATTTTTCAATTATCAGTCCGAAAACTGACTAGCTCGCGCTATTTTCACCAAATCAACTCATTAGAGATGTTGCAATAACTTGGGCCATATTATTGGCCCAACTCAACCTGTAGAAGCGTAAAGGAACGAAATATGGGGATTTAGTTCTGGAATTTTTCTAAAACAAAGTAAGGAAAATGTAATTATGGCCAATATTTTGGCTAATAGAGTCCATCTCACATAAGTATAAGCATCTTTGCAAAGTGTAGACTTTGTTGGCAATATTTTTTGGGACTCAAAAATATTGCATTGTATGATGGACATCATTTGCATAAGTTGTATCTCTTCTTTTACACCTAAGAGGCCAAGACTTTTTTGGTTATAAAAGGGAAGGCCATTAGTTCATTTTAGACACACCAACAAGACTTGAGTCTTCATTTATTGTTTCTTCCTTTCCTCCTTTATTAAGAGTATTTTGTATAAGAGTTAGTGTTGGGAAGCACTTGTGTGAACCCTTTCTTTGGAGTGATCTTGTGAGATTATTTTCTTAGGGTATTTGGGATTAATTATAGTGTTTATTCTAATTTTGTACTCTCTTTTGTACTCTTGTTGGTAAAGTAAAATTACTTTTCTCTGCTTGTGGACTTAGGTCACTTTGACCGAACCACGTTAAATTTGTGTCTTCTTTCTATGCTTTAATTGTCGTTGTTATCAACTTTTATTGTCTTTGTTATTGTCATTATACCGTTGTTTGGCTAAATTTTGCACTACCCGAATTCCCGATCCTAATAAATTGGTATCAGAGCCAGATCTAACCGGGTTTATTTCAATAGCCAATATGACTTTAACAAAGACTTATGTTGAGAAATTTGATTGAAGTGCAAACTTCGTAATGTGACAATTAAAGATGGAAGCTATCCTAATTTAGTATGGCTTAGATTTGGCGCTGCAAGGAAAGGAGAAGAAGCCGGATAAAATGACGGATGAGGAGTTTACCGTCATAGACAAAAGGGCAAAAGCAGGTATCATTTTAAATCTCTTAAATGAGGTTTTACATGAAGTTTCTGTAGAAATCACAACTAAAGGCATGTGGGAAAAATTGAAAACCTTATATATGAAGGGGGCGGTGAAAAATAGACTTTACCTTAAGCAAAAGCTTTATACAATTTGTATAGGTGAAAGTACCTCTATTCTCTTTCATCTTGACACCTTTGATTCCATTCTTATGGATTTGAGTAATATAGATGCTGAAATTAAAGATGAGGATCAAGCCGTGTTATTGATTTGTTCTCTACCCCCATCTTTTAAGCATATAAGAGATACTATACTTTATGTAAAGGATAATATATCTTATAAGGATATTAAATCTATCTTAAAATCAAAAGAACAGATAGATAGTGATATTACTAGGGAAGTTACTGGAACTCAAGCGGAAGTTGACTTGTTTGTTAGGGGCAAATCCGACTCAAAATCCAAATACAATAATTTAGAGTGTTGTTATTATCATAAGAAATGTCACATTATCTGTGAATGTTATAAACTGAAAAATAAAGAAAAACATAAAGAAAGAAAAAATGAGCACAAAAATATTGACACCGCCGAAGCTAGTGTAGCAACTGATGAGATTGAGGGAACTATATTTTTAGCAACTGAAACTAGTTTCAGATTAGACAATGAGTGAATTTTAGATTCTGGTTGTTCGTATCATATGTGTCCTAGCAAGGACTTATTTTCCACATATGATTCAGTTGCAGGTAGAGTTGTCCAATTGGATAACAATGTTACTTGTAACATTATTGGCAAAGGTACAATTCAGATCATAATGCACGATGGTGTGGTGAGAATTCTCACCGATATTAGATATGTTCCTGAGTTGAAGAAAAATCTCATATATTTGGGCACTTTAGAATCCCTTGGGTGCAAATTCACTGGTGAAGGTGGAGTTCTGAAAATATTTCAAGGTGTTCTTGTGATCATGAAAGCATACAGATCTGGTTCGTTGTATACTTTATTGGGCTCCACTGTTATATGCCAATACTACAGTTTCGGTATCAGACAACTTGTCTGATTTTGATGGTATTAAATTTTGACATATGCCCATTAGGGCTTTTGCGGAGAAGGTGGAACAAACTTACTATATTAGCCAAAATTAGGTCAAGGTGGAGATTTATGATTATGACCAATATTTTGGCTAATGGAGTCCATCTCACATAAACATACGTATCTTTGCAAAGTGTAGACTTTGTTGGCAATATTCTTTGGGACCCAAAAATATTGCATTGTATAATGGACATCATTTGCACAAGTTGTATCTCTTCTTTTACACCTAAGATGCCAAGACTTTTTTGGCTATAAAAGGGAAGGCCATTAGTTCATTTTAGACACACCAACAAGACTTGAGTCTTCATTTCTTGTTTCTTCTTTTCCTCCTTTATTAAGAGTATTTTGTATGAGAGTTAGTGTTGGGAAGCACTTGTGAACCCTTTCTTTGGAGTGATCTTGTGAGGTTATTCTCTTAGGGTATTTGGGATTAATTAGAGTGTTTACTCTAATTTTATACTCTCTTTTGTACTCTTGTTGGTATAGTGAAATTACTCCTCTCCGTTTGTGGACGTAGGTCACTTTGACCGAACCACATTAAATTTGTGTCTTCTTTATATGATTTAATTGCCATTGTTATCAACTTTCATTGTCTTTGTTATTGTCATTATACCGTTGTTTGACTAAATTCCGCACTACCCGAATTCCCGATCCTAACAGAAAAGATCGGCAAAAGCTCTTAAATTTTGGATTTATTTGAGTTGAACAGATAATGACCAGTTCTCAGCTCACCTTAACTCAATTCATTTGAAACCAAGAAAACTTTGGATGATCAAATCGGGTCATAAAACTTTCGTATTTCATTTTTAACTCGTCCATATTTGATCCAACTTAAGATTTGACTTCGTAACCAAGTTTTTGCCTAATTAATTTATGACAGATGTATAAAAGAATAAATACATAACATGGTTTATACACACCATTAAATGGCATATATAGTTTTACTATATATATATACATCAGTACGTTATGCCCAACTGAAGCAGTTGAATTCAAACACATTTTGTTGGTGTTTCAGCTTGTTATTATCAGGTGCCAAAGGCGCTCACAACACCGTTATCTATTAATTTACTGCATGATGTTAATTAACAACAATTGAACATGAATTTGTTAAAAAATAACAATGGGATAGAAGTATACTCTATTACTCTTATTCATGTGTATTGTTACTATGAAAAATCTAAGATTTGAAGTTTATAGGTTCCTAAAACGACATCGAGTTATTTATACAATAATAATTAAATATAATCAAATATTTATATATATTTAATAAATTTTTTAATATAAATATAAGATTTAAACAAAAATTACTTTGTTCACGGGAATCCATAAAGTTAAGGCTACTATATGCATTCGATCTTTAACAAATAGTAATAAATATTGGGCCGCTAAAGTTCTAACATATCCAAATTTTTTGATCTCCCTATTAGTATTGGCTGCTAGTTTGGTTTATATTAAAAGATTGAAAAGAGAGAATAGATAAGCTTTTGCGCATTTCTATGTACCCAATTCAAGTATGGAAGTACACAAGATAGGTACTTTAATCTTCTGCCATAATTCATTATATTGGCATCCCATATTGTCTGAAACTTTGGTCTGCTTATCCCTCTCACATGTGAAACGTACGGCATTTATTTTCTTGGACAGACCCAAAGACAATGACAGCTTACGTACCATCACCAAAATAATTAAGGTAATTAACCACATGGTTAGCCATCTT